GGGGGGGGGGGGGGCTGTGGAAGGGGACGGGCGTCTTTGTAGGGGCCCGAAGGCAGGGCGCGAGGGGCCTGGGGGTGCGGGTCGGCCGAGCCGGGAGCCAGAGTGGATGAGCGCCCCCCGGCCCAGGTAGGGCTGATGAAGGAGGGGGAAGGGACCCAAACTCTCTGGGAGCAGGAGTGGGGGAGGGGAGAGGATGGGGGGGTGCTTCCCTCTCTGCGTCCCAAACAAAGTGTCACAAAGAGCTCGGCCGGCGGCAGCAGCGGAGGCGGCTGCAACTCAGCTTTTGTTCTCCCGGCCTGGGTAGCTGAGCCCTGGCCTTCCAGTCTCCTAACCCTGCCCCCCATCATCCTTCTGGCTTATATTCCCCGGGAGGGGTCTGGGGTGCTGCTGGAAGAACCTCTTGTGCAGGATCACAGTTCCTGCTCTACTTGCCAACCTACTTCTGGGAGGTGGGTTTTCCCAGAGGCCCTCCTGCCCACCCCCACCCCCTGATCCCAGGACTGAGGCCCATATGGGTGCTAAGACTCTGACCTTTCTAGGGTCAGCTCTAGTTAAGGGAACTTAGGGTTGGCTACATGCCCCTTTCCTCAAATCCAGGTCTTCTAGAACTTTCAAAAGAGGGGTCAAGTTGGGACATGCCTCTGGAATAAGATTCCCAGTAGTGGGGTGGCAGGATGTGAGCAGGTGTACGCACCTTCCTCTCGCCTCCTGCTGAGTATTTGCAGTCCATGACTGAGATTCCATGCCCTCAGCCCAGGATCCTGAGGGTGGAGGGAAGGAGGCTTCACCAAAAGCTCAATGGATAAGGTGGGCAAGCTGTGGTCCGGGGTCAGTTTGGAGGAACGACCTGAGCAGTGAGGTTCAGAGGGCCATGGAAAGGAGATCATAAAAGTGAATTACTGGCATGCCTGTGTGACAAAGGTGGTCTTGATTCTACACCACCTAAGAAGCTCCCTTTCCTTTTAACTCCATCTAGTGCAGTGTTAATCATAATTGTTAGAGGACTTGGGAGGTGTAGGATTCTCAACAGAGAGAAAAACATCAAGTATTAGAAATGACGAGTGACAGAGGCCTAGTCACAACCACACCACAGAAGTCGTGAACCCTTGCCCCTTACAGTTTGACCCTAAAAACATTTGAACCACATGGCTTGAGGGACCATCTTCATGCTCCTCCAGCCACACCCCCTTCCCCACCAGCTCTCCTAGCACATAAAAGTAATTGGCCTGTTGCTTTGGAAAGATTTCTGATCCCTATCCCTAGCCTTGCATCCCTATAGAACCCAAATAAGGGCGAGGTAACCCCATTGGGGGTGGGAAGCAGGTGAGTGCTGCTGTCTAACCAGATCTTATGGATGGTATTTAAGTCCTGACTATAGAAAAATATTGGTTATTGCCCACAGGCAATACATGTATGACCTGGGTTCCAAGCCAGTTCATAGACTCTTGGACCTTGTCAGTGCTTTCTTCTATTGAGAAAAACTCATGGGATCCAGGTGCCTGGGACCTGGTTTGGTGTGGAGGTGATTCAGAAGACCTTGATTGGGACTAGGAGGGTCTCTCACTGGGTTTTATTGATTTGAGGCCACCCTCTGGGGAAACTTTCCCAGCTCAGGAATATAGCTTCAATTTAGGTCTTCTCGTATATCACTATTATCGTCCTAGAAAGTGCTATGTGCAAAGCAGGATTTTTTGTTTTGTTTTGGGGAAGGAAGCTTTGCCCTATGCCTACGCTACTTGCCTCAGATACAAGGTCAACTTCCCATGAGGTATTTTGCTTGCTATCCTACAGGCAGTTTCAGGGGCCCTAGAATCTTCTCAGAATCAGAGTATGTGCCCATAGGTTAGTCAGCTATGACCATGCAGTATTCCCAGCCTTCCCCCTCCCCCCTATCCCCCGCCATCTGCTTCCTCTGAATATACCAGATTGGCTGTACACCAGGATGTTCCGGGAATCCCCAGGAGAGCAACAGAATGTGATGGACCCAAATACGACGCCTCAGTCACTCATTCCAGGATGTACAAACTGTAACTGTCAGGATACTCCTTATAGCTAATTAAAATTCTTCTAGTTACATCTATTTTCTGTTACATCTATCTATTTTCAGTGTCATCCAAAGGCAAAAATAATCCCTCTGGTACCACTGTATTTTCTTACCCCACTATGGCTCCCAGATAGGAATTTTTAAAAATCCTCTAGCTTTTCTCAGTGCCTTAACTGTGGTGCTAAAATGGCAAATGTGGCCCCTCTAGCACTTCATAGCTCTATCTATGGTACTGAGGTGGCCACAGTGGCTCCTCTGGTAGCCCACTGCACTCTCCATGGTACTGAAGGGATGACCATTTGTTTTAACTTCTCTGTGGGGTCCAGAAGAGTCCTATGACTCAGAACTACAAAACTTTCAAGTTGGAAGAGACCATTTATATAAATTAGTCCAACCCCCTTATTTTACAGATGAGTAAACTGGGAGGTTAAGTGATTTACTGAAGGTTGCAGGGCTATTAATAGTCAGACTCTGCCCACAATAACCTTGTACCACTCGAATTTTCACCTTTCCTGATACTACTTTAGTGAGCCTGGCTAGGCTTTTGGTCCCAGAAAAGGGATTTATTTGAAGAATCCAGAAGATAAGGGTGGATGCCCTAATTTGGTGCTACAGAAATACAAATATTAAAAGTGGTGGTGGAGGTTGTTTAGTGACCCTTGGACAAGGACACTTTGTTAATTAACTTCCTGTTAATAAAATTCCCATAACCCAGATTCCACATGTAACAGGTACCTGCCCATTCATAGAGTCTTATCACATCCACTAAATATCAAAAATTAAAGAAGTCTCAGACCTCCAGAGCCTCTTTGCTGATAAGCAGGGCTGACTCCTGGCCCAATTCTCTTCCATTAAACATCCTTAAGCAAAGTAATGCCTGAGTCCTTTTCTTTCTCAGTAACCCATTTTAGTTGCACAATACCTATTGTAAGGACATTCTTTATATCTCAAATATTCTTTCCGTTTCAGGCAAAAAACTAGGTTAGGCCCACAGTTGTCTAGCCTTGACCAGATAAAATTCTATATGTAAACAGGAAGGTATACTGATCGACTTCTGGTCATCCTCCTAGGCCTATTTCCATGAATCTTAATTCTGGGATTGCTTGTAAGTCCTAATGCTAACCTCTGCAGCTTAGAATCAGGAGACACCCCTGCCCCCCGCCCCCCATCCTCTTCCTCTCAGTGCTCTTCTCCTTCCTCAGAACGGGAGCTCTGCATATCCCAGGCCCAGGGAATTTTAGCCTGGAGAATTTTAACCCTTTCCTGCTCGGAGCATGTGCTGAGCCCCTATCTGTGCAGATGGCCCAGCCCCGCCCCTCGCCCCTCACTCCAGGCTCTTGAGCTCAGAGTCAGTGTAATCCTCCTCTTGTGTGAGGGAGCCTCTCCCCTGCAGAGAGGAGGAAAGCCTGCTTCGGAACAGCCCTGGACAAAGGGGCTGAGATGCCCCATCAAACTGCAGGCTTCAAGGTTTGAAACACGGGGATGAATCCTGTCCGGTATTTGCAGTTTTTAACCCTTTCCCCAGGCCAGCAGCACCCCTTAACTTCCACTCCTCCCCCAACTCTCTCTTCATTCCCTCTCCCTCTGGCTCTCTCCCCCTTTGTGCCCCTCCCCCTCTGTCTGTCTCCAGACTCTGCTGCTGGGAGGTGTTTCTCTCCCATGCATGAATGAGTCTCTGTAATGAATGGAAATGAATGGATCAGGAATCCAAGTGGAGGGAGGGAGAATGAGGGGGAAAGACAGAAAGACAGGGTAAGGGCAGAAGGAAGGACTGTGGAGCCCGGAAGGATGTTTGGCTGGCTGTTCAGTTAGGTGCCTGAGAGCAGCTGGTCCCATTTGGATAACTGGGGAGCATGGCAAGCCCACCCCATTTGCTCATCAAGCTGCACAGGCCAAACTAAATGAGAGGGCTACACTGTGATAAGTCTTCCCTGCCACCAGGGGTGGTGGTGGTGGTGGTGGTAGTTGTTCTGGACCAGGCATTTAAAACGTATCTGGGGGGAAGAAGTCTGTGATATCAGGGAGCCTTGTGGGCTTGTCCAATTAAGGAGAACAAGTTTTGAAGACAGCAGCCTCCGCCTGCCTCAGGATGCAAGGAGGGAGAAGGGATAGGTTTCAGGAATACAGGGTGCTACGATTGTGGGGTTGGGGTGACTCCACTGCTGAAAATCAGGACTCAACTTGTCCTCCAAATCTGTCTCTCTTGCTTTAGCTCTTCAGCACCTGTTGCCTTCACTAGCAGCTTTTCCTCCTTCTCTGCACTCCCCAGAACCAAAGAATGTGAAGGGGGTCCATGGAGGTGAGTGAAGCTCTGGCCTGAACCTGCAAGTACCTACAACTATACTCCCTGCCCTCCCTCTCTCTCTCTCCTTCTGACCTGCCATTATTAGAAGTTATCTCCGTGGCCCCAACGGCTCAATTCCCATTCATCCCCCAACTTCCCCAAGGTGAGTGGGAAGGGTACCAGGTGTACCTGGCTCAGGCCCCAACCCACCCTCCCTTGGGTTGTTCCGGCCCTCCATGCCTTTGGTTACCCAACAGCTCTCTTTTGTCCATCTTTGCTCTGTATACATCTTTTTCCACAGGGCTCACGTCCCCGCGCCCCGGGCGGCCACTTAGCGCCCTCACCGCCGGCCTTCGACGGCGAACTGGATTTGCAGCGCTACTCTAACGGGCCAGGCGTGAGCACCGGGTCTCCAGGAATGGGAGCGGTGGGCTGGTCTGAGAGTCGCGCTGGCGAAAGGCGCTTTCCCTGCCCTGTATGCGGGAAGCGCTTCCGTTTCAACTCCATCCTGGCTTTGCACCTGCGGGCGCACCCAGGCGCCCAGGCCTTCCAGTGCCCGCACTGCGGCCACCGTGCAGCGCAGCGGGCCCTATTGCGCTCGCACCTGCGCACGCATCAGCCTGAGCGCCCGCGCAGTCCTGCAGCGCGCCTGTTGCTGGAGTTGGAAGAGCGTGCGCTACTTCGTGAGGCCCGGATGGGGAGAGCCCGAAGCTCAGGGAGCATGCAGGCTGCTCCTGCCACTGAGGGCCTGTCACGGCCCCAAGCTCCGTCGTCGTCCTCCTTCCGTTGCCCCTTCTGCAAAGGCAAGTTTCGTACTGCGGCAGAGCGCGAACGCCACCTGCACATCCTGCACAGGCCCTGGAAGTGCGGCCTATGCAGTTTCGGCTCCAGCCAGGAGGAGGAGCTGCTGCACCACAGCCTGACGGCCCACGGAGCTTCTGAGCGCCCCCTGGCGGCCTCTTCGGCTGCTCCCCAACCTCAGCCTCAGCCTCAGCCTCCACCCCAGCCTGAACCCAGATCAGTCCCGGAGCCGCCGGAGCCTGAGCCTGAGCCGGAACGTGAGGCAACCCCGGCCCCCGCTCCTGCCACTCCGGAGGAGCCCCCTGCGCCTCCCGAGTTCCGTTGTCAAGTGTGTGGCCAGAGCTTTACACAGTCCTGGTTTCTCAAGGGCCATATGCGCAAGCACAAGGCCTCCTTCGATCATGCGTGTCCCGTGTGTGGCCGCTGCTTCAAGGAGCCCTGGTTCCTTAAGAACCACATGAAAGTGCACGCCAGCAAGCTGGGCCCACTGCGTGCCCCGGGGCCTGGTTCCGGCCCTGCCCGGGCGCCCCAGCCTCCTGACCTGGGCCTCCTGGCCTATGAGCCGCTGGGCCCCGCGCTCCTTTTGGCCCCCGCGCCCACCCCGGCTGAGCGCCGTGAGCCTGCGAGCCTGCTGGGCTACTTGAGCCTACGAGCTGGCGAAGCTCGGCCCAATGGTGAGGGTGCAGAGTCTGGGCCTGGCCGCAGCTTCGGAGGCTTCCGCCCCTTGCCCTCTGCTCTCCCAGCCCGGGCTCGGCGGCACCGTCCTGAGGAGCCTGACGAGGAAGAGGAGGTGGTAGAGGCGGAGGAGGAGACCTGGGCCCGGAACAGGGCACTGGGCCCTCTGGCTTCACTGCACCCACGCCCAGGGGAGGGGCAGGGGCACTCTGCACCTGCTGCGGGGGCCCAGGCAAGGCCCACCGCCACACAGGGTACGTAAGGGGCCGTCCGTCTTCTTGGTTTTCCAAATTCTGGGCCCACTCTAAATGCCACCACTCCCCTCCTGTACTCTCTTTTAAAAAGGACTTGTCCTATTTCTTGCCTGTTTTCTCCCTCTGGAGGCTTTACCTAACCTTCTGAGGGCACCAACTCAACTCACAGCAAATTCAACCCCTCATTCCCCCAAGCAGAGTTTCCTCCTGGGCCCGAAGGGGAAGCAGTCCTGTGGGGTGCATGGCTCTGATGGGGTTAGGGCAAAGGGCCCCTTTGACTTCCCTTAACTTGTATATTGCAGAAGAGAATGGGCTGTTAGTTGGAGGGACCCGGCCCGAAGGGGGCCGAGGGGCCACTGGCAAGGATTGTCCATTCTGTGGAAAATCTTTCCGCTCAGCGCATCACCTCAAAGTACACCTGCGAGTACACACAGGTGAGGGGGCGGCCTCCGGGGTAGACAGGGCACTAGAGCGCAGGAAGAGAGGTGAGAGGGCTACTGGAGGTGACGTTAGGCAGCCTTCAGACTGGCCAGGTGAGGGCATTGGGAAACCGTTATTTATTAAATCAGAGGGGGTGGTAGAGGCAATGTTTTTTCCGGGTCCAGAGGTCTGTACGTTGAGGGAAAATGTTGGTGGGGGTGGGCAGGGATCGAGCCTCTGAACCTACAGCACTCCCCTCTCCCCAGGTGAGCGCCCCTACAAGTGTCCACACTGCGACTACGCAGGCACCCAATCTGGCTCGCTGAAGTATCACCTGCAGCGCCACCACCGGGAGCAGCGGAGTGGGGCTGGCCCCGGGCCACCCCCGGAGCCGCCGCCCCCTTCCCAGCGGGGTTCCGCCCAGACATCCGGAGCCAAGGCGACCTCGCAGCCTGCGACTTGGGTGGAGGGCGCCGCGACCCCCCGGTCTTCTAGCGCCGCTGGGTCCCGTCGGAAGCCCGCTAGCCCCGGGAGGACCCTGCGCAACGGGCGAGGCGGTGAGGCCGAACCCCTGGACCTGTCCCTGCGGGCGGGGCCGGGAGGCGAGGCCGGGCCGGGGGGTGCCCTCCACCGTTGCCTCTTCTGCCCCTTCGCCACTGGAGCCCCGGAGCTCATGGCCTTGCACCTGCAAGTGCACCACAGCCGTCGGGCTCGGGGCCGCCGGCCGCCCCAGGCTGACACTTCCCCGCCCTATATACGAGCACCATCAGGAGAGACCCCTCCTAGTCCTCCGCAGGAAGGGGAGGAGGGCCCCGGGCTTTCGAGATCCGGAGAGGTGGGGCTAGGGGGTCAAGAACGGTAGGGAGCCCTCTTAGGGCCAGTTAGCTTAGTGAGCTTACCCCGCCGGAGCGGGGAGCACTAGAGGTAGTTGGGTAGAGCAGCCAGCAGGGGGCAGCGTGGGACCCATATTCCCAGCCCCAGGTGGACCAGAGGTGAAGGGTGTGGAGGGCCTAGGAGGGTGGGCGGGCAGCACCCACCCAGCCCAGGGGAGTCACAGTGCCTTAGAAGTGGCAGGGGTGAGGATCAAAGAACGGAGTCCCAGGGCTGGCAGAGAGAGTTGTGCCCCTGTTGAGGAGTCGCTCTGCCAGTCCTTGCTGGTCCATAGGCGTGAGAGTTTATTTTTGTACAATGGGTGGGGGTGGGGGGCACTGTACCCTTCTAAGCCCCTTCTGGGGCCCTGTAGACGTTGCTATTTTTGGTACGATTCCTGTCATCCCTGTCGCAGAGTTGTGTCCCTAATAAACAAGTGTCTTGAGGCACAGGACACTGTGTCTGTCTGCGTATGTCCTGTCCTTTTTAGGCCATTCTCTCCAGGAAAGAGGCACCTATTTAGGCACTTGTTATCATATCACCCAAAGAGCTTGATAAGAAAAGCAGAAATATTGGATTTTACCCCCAGCCTTTGGCTTCAGTAGCTCTGGGTTGGGGCCCAGAAATTAGCATTTAGCAAATTGCCTAGGGAATTCTCATGCACTGTGATCTGAGGACCTCATTTTGAAATCTTCCGAACTGTGTTGAATCCTAGCTTGACTGTGACTAGCTCAGTCTCAAGAAATGGGTGCAGTGTGAGAAGAGGAGCTTCAAAGGATGCAGTGAGCCTCTGGGAGCCACTGTGGAGGAGGCACGTTCTCCCAGGCCTGGTCCACACCCAGCTTTGGGCCAGGAAGGGGTACAGGGTATCTTGTAGCCTTGGTTGTATTTTCTGTGTTCTAGTTGATGGTTGAGGGGACGTGCTCAAGTTAGTAGTATCACCTCAACCTAGAGGACTGCTCTAGCTTTTCCGACACAAAGTGTGAGTAAATACATTTAATATAACAATAGTATTATAATAACAGTAATTACATATATAAAGTTTGCAGTTCCCCGCCCCACCCTCATATAATGGTTTGCATAACTCCATTTCTTCTGACAGCCCAGAATGGAGTCACCAGGAATAATGGTTGACCTGACAGAGATGAGTCTTCTCAGGGAGTCAAGGAGGGAAGAAGGGGGACACACCAGCTCTCTGGGAGGCCTGACATGGGGGTGGTACCCTGGGAGTTATGCAGTGGCCCAAGAAGGGGAAGGACTGGACCAGGAATAATTTTCCTGCCTCCAGAGTATGAAGGCAAGCAAGTATGGGCACTCTGGTTCCTGAAGGAAGGCGCCCAGCTGAGGAGAGCTATAGAGACAGTTAGCAGGGTAACACGCTGGTCCTTTGACCTCTCTGTCCAGGAAGCAGAGGGAAGGAAGTCAGTGATCTTCCAGTCCTTCACTATGTCCCATTGCCATCCCAGCCCAAAATATGCTGAGAGGAGGGGCTGTAGCCAAGTTCTGGATTTTCTCTAGAAGTCAGGAAAGAAGAGGGATACGGGTTGGGAGAGGAAGAGGCTGACTCCCAAACAGCTGGGGGGGAGGAAGGATGGGAAGGATGGTACATGCAAGAGGGAAGGAGTGTTGGATGTGGCGGGATGGAGGTACTGACTCACCCAGGTCACAGAGGCGTGGTGGGGTCACTCAAGGCTCGGGCATGACTCTTAGGGGAGAGAGACTGCAGTGAATTAACAGGATAAGAAATGACCTCTTCCCTCTATCCCTGTCTCTTCCTTTCCCCCCCTCCACCCCCCCCCAAGCCTGTCAGTTCACCTCGCTTTCCTCTCCAGAGTTTGTGAATTTGCTCATTTAATCCACGTGCAAACCAGGCTGTTGGCATTCTCCCCTTTCCATCCACTCCTGCACTATGCTCCTTATTAAGGATTCCTTTTCACTTCTGACCTAATGCCTCTCAGCCTGGCCTGGGTGAGAGGAGAAAGGCAGACCGGGACAGTATATCCAACCTGTAGCCTCGCTGGGAGCACAGGCTCACTGGTTCCCCCTGCCCCCCATGGGTTGAAAGAGCAGAAGAGCCCACCCAGAAAGTGGCTGAAGAGGTCACCCATGCCTGACCCTGTTGAAGGGACTTACCTGCCGGGATAGCCCTAAGATCCCTCCACTGGCCAGAATGGGAGTGCTGCTCCCAGGATGGGGGGGTTGCAGGCTGGGGCTGTTTCTTGGTCCTGGGGACACATCTCCAGAAGAGTCAAGTGTTTCCGGGGCTGGAGGGGAAGCTAGGGTGAGAGCAGGGTATAGAACCCCTCACGATTACCTTAAGCAACCAAGCTGCTCCATCAGGGAGGAAAAGCTCCATAGCAACAGGAAGCTGTGTCACCATAGCAATCCACTTGCAAGAGAACCCCCCTACCAAGAGGCAGGAAATGTCAGCAGCATCATTAGAGCAACCAGGGAAGAAGCGACAGGAAACTATAAGGATTGCCGTGGTGAGCCAGGAGGGTACAACAGGAAGCTGAGGCAGTTTCCATAGAAACCCAAGGAGAGCTAGAGAGAGAAGTACAGAGGAAGTGCTTAGCAACAGGCTGCTGTAAGCATTACCCTAGCAACCAGATGGAAGGTTCTTTTAGCAATTGGGAAGCTGTACATAGTTGTCATGGCAACTGGGCTACTTGGCTAGATAAAGGAATTGCTCAGCAGCAAGCATCCTGAACATGACATAATGACCCAGCGGCTGGGAGCCACCCCTTGAGAGGTGCCTCACCCAGGGAAATTTGCTTGACGTCCAGATCCCAGGCCTCCTCCTCGACGCGGGCAGGCAGGGAGCAGGCTCCCGGTGAGAGGCCCGGAAGGGAGGGGCCGGCATGCTCAAAGGATGACACAGCCACAGAGGCCCGGGTGCGCGCGGCTGCAGAGAGTGGGGGTGGGGTGGGGGGTGGGGGTGCTGGTGTGGGAAAGCCCTCCTGGCTCCCTGAAAAGACCCTCAGTTTCATAGAGGGCCTCCCAGTCTGTCCCACAATTTCTGGTAAGACATCTCCATTCATTACCCTTCCTCACTTTCTACCACGCCTCCCCACTGTGCCCTCATGTCAAGGTCTTGACTTCTGGGGGCCATCCCCCAGCACTGTGGACCTCACCTCTTCCAGTGAGCAGGGCACTCAGCGTCCGCTCCCCAAGGGCTTTGATGTCCAGGAAGGGTTTATTCCCGATGCCCATGGAGACCATCTGCTGCACTCGGAGCTCTAGGGAACAGAGACCCTGTTACCAGCCTCCTTTGCCCGTTCTCTGCTCTAGCCCTAGCACTGTCTTGGTCCACTCTTCCTTTTGCTCCTTCCCAGCGCTCATTCCTTTCACTCGTTCCTCTGGTATCTCATTACTCTTCCTGTTGACTGTCACAACGTGGCTGGAGATGGTGGTCCTCGACTTCCTCAGATATCTGTCTCTTCTGTATGTTGCATCCTGCCCATTTACCATTCCGGCTGCCCAACTTCTAATACTCGTGTTCTTCCCTTTATCTTGGGTATTAAGAGCAAAACTCACATTTTTACATACTTTTACAATTTATCAAATGCTTCCACATATATCACCTTATTTAATTCTCCCTGTCACACTAAGATGTAGATACTACTTTCTGTTTTTTCAAGTGAGTGGAATGAAGTTCAGAGAATTCAAAATAAAACAAAAACCAGCAAAACAAAAAAAAAATTAGTCCAGGTCACGCAGCAAGAAAGCTCTGGAACCCAGGTCCAGTGAGCCCTTTCTCAGTCTCCTGCCCAGCCACATGCTCTTGCTTCCCTGAAATTTGCTCGATTCTGCTGTCCTTTTGGTATACCTTAGACCGGGTAGAGGTCAGCAAACTTTTGAGACAGAAGAGCCAATCCTGTCCCTCACAACAATTTAAAAATTATTTGAGATCCAGAAAACAAATGAAATCACCATTATGTGACTAATATCCTTTAACAATTTTATAAATAAAACTAGGATAGTTTTATTTTCATTTTCAATTTTACTTCAGAGCCACATGTACGTACCCAAAGAGCCGCGTGTGGCTCGCGAGCCGCAGTTTGCTGACTCCTGCCTTAGACTAATTTCTATCTCAGCAATCTCTCTCAAATCATGTCTTGAATCTTCTCATAAGTCACTCTTTTTTCTCTATCCTACACCCTGTTTTCCCAAGTGGTCTCCACACTCTCCAGCTAACCTCCTGCCATAACTTGGACCCCAAGCACCGCCCCCACCCCACCCCTGGCTCTGCCTTGTACCCTTATTTTGGGCTGCCTGTCTCCACAACAGCTGAGCGATAGAACTTGTCCACTTGAGTTTGATCTCTGGTGAGGCAGCCTGTAGAGTGTATGCCTCCCGTGCACGGCGCCGCCGAAACCACAGTTCAAAGCAGAGCCCGCTGTCCCCGATGTTTTCTGTTAGCCCCATGTCAGCAGTCTGAGAAAGAGCAGAGGAGAGTGGATGAGGATGGAGTGAGTCCTGGTTAGATGGTACCACATGGAAAAGCATTACACTTAGCCTGGCATCTGTTAGATGTTCAGTAAATGTTTGCTCAACACCTACCATGGGCCAAGAGCTCTACATTTCGTCTCCATAACAACCATAATTTACAGAAGGGGAATGCCCAGAGACATGAAGCAACTTGCCCAAGGGCTTATCATAGCTTATTAGAGAAGGAAGGTTCAAACCCATGTGTTATTCCAAACCGAGGCTTTTTTCTCTGTATTGTACTACCCGCTGAAGAGATGGAACTAGTGTAGGGGGACAAAGTCTAGAAACCCTTAGAATCGTGCCACACAGCTTGATCTAGGACCACAGGTCGCTATTGATGTTTATCTGGATACTAGGGCTGTTTCCCTAAAGCAGGGCCTCCCTCTTGGCTTCTTCAGTTCCATCAAGTTATATATACATTGCCCTTTTTCCTTATCCCCCAGGGACCACCCCTGACTCAAAAGGTGTGTGTGTCCTCAGTGGGAAGCGTTCTTCTCCCTTCTGGCTTGGAATACCTCATGAGTCTCCTACATGAATGATAAGGAAAACCCCAAGGAGTAGACCTATGACAGGGACTTCTATCACCCCAACACCCTTACTGATGGTTGGTTACAGGCCAAAGCCTGTTCCAGTTTATGCAGATTCTGAACCTGGGTTGGGGTTGAATTTTCAGAACATCCTGAGTTCTCAAGAAGAGCTTCCTGTCTTGTTCCCCACTAACCCTCCTTCCTGCAGGTATTGTACCTTAAAGGCCTGCTTGTATACAAAGGTCTCCGAGCCCCCCTCAGAGCCCTTGAGTTTGCTGAACAGGAGGAGATGCTCAAAGAGGAAGACATGGCGAAGGCACTTCTTTCGGCCACAGATGACGGTGAAGGGGTCCCGGTGTAGGAGCTGTCCCTGTTCCTTCAGATCTGTCTGGAGAAAGGAAAAGAAAAGGTCATTGGCCCTGAAGCCCTTTGTGTATATTTTATGGGGCGTAAAAATGGGACTTATAGGGCAAGTGCCTAATGACATTCTAAAGGCAGAATCAGGAAATCAGGGAAGCCCTTGGCCTAGACTCCACCAGCTGGTCACCCTGCACAGCATACCTGGCCTAGCAGCACAGCCTGCCTCTGAAGACGGAAGGCGTTTTGCACAGTAGGGCTCACAGCCTCCTGTGAGAAGCCTTTGAATGGTGGGGATGAAAGCACCATTTTGCCCCAGGAAGAAAATTAAGAAAGAATTGATGGGGAAAGAGGTCTATCCCAGAGGAGGTAGGTTTCCAGCCTGTTCTGGAACCTCAGGGCTGGAAAGAGACTAGGTAGAGGAGAATAAGGTATGTGTTGAGTGTTGAGATGCAGGAAGGAGTGCAGGTAGATTGAGGAAGACAAGAATCAGGAAAGGAATAGGAATTCCAGGCAGATGTGGAATCATGGGATGATGGGCGGGACATAACTTCTTTATTTATAGACGAGAAAACTGAGGCCCACTGAAGTTCAGTGTCTTCACTATGGCCATCTAGCTGGTTAGAAATTACAGCCTGGAGCCTGCTGACCACGAGTCTAGTTCTCTCATCACCAGCCCGCTCTGCTGCTAAGGCCACAGGACTAGGTCATTTGAGCTGTAGTGACTGGAGCCCGGGCCTTACCTCGCAGCCACGCACCGCCTCCACGGCCAACAGATCTCTGCCACGGGTCTCTTGTTCCCGGAGCAGCTGCACGGCAGCCCCAAGGGCCTGGCGCTCAGAACTCAGTTCAGGCCCAGCTTCCCGTAAGAGCTCCTCCAGGAGCCGCCCATACCGAGCCAGCTGCTCCAGGGGCTGCTGCAGGGCCCGGGGCAGGTGAGGGCCACCCTCCATGGAGCCCTAGAATGGGGAGGAGACAGACAGGGAAGAGGGGAGAGGCTGGACCTGGTGGGGGCTGAGGGTCTGTGGGGAGGGTGAGTGGGACTCCAAGCTTTTGGGGGTAGATGAAGCTCAGATACACCCAAAGGTAAGGCAAAAAACCTTCCCCAAGAAAGAAAGCACATAGGGGGGGCTGCAGGAGATTTAGTCTCCCTCTGTATCTTGATGGGGAATAAAGAAGGAATACAAATAATCCCTTATAGTCTCTAGCTTTTAATTTTTGAAGTTGTTTTCACATCTTTTGTTGTGAGATCTTTCGATTCTCAGAGCACTCTGTGAATTAGATGTAGTGAATATTGCCCCCATTTACCAATGTAGAATTGGGCTCAGAGGAACCGAGAGTCTTGCCTAGTCCCTCAGATGCACTGGATAAGAACCCAGTCTCACCTGCCTCCCAGTCCAGTGCCTATGCTACCCTCAGCAATTCCGGGAGGCTATTGGTAGGTGACATTCTTGGGCACATCAAGGAAAGCTGCACCCCCACACCCCCACCCCCGGGCGAAATTTTGAGGTTGGGTCGGTTTTACATCTTCCTGGCTCCTCCCCTTCTTATTAAGGTTGGAGAAAGGGTTACCTTAGTTGGGGGGCCAAGTGCAGCCAGGCCATTCTCCAGTTTGTGTCGGTGCTTCACGTACTGGGCGTAAAGGCTGAACTGATCCCCCTGTGCCAGAAGAGAAATAAGCCATCCCTGCAGACAAGCCCCTCCCTTTGCTCCTCCACATTCTCACTGCAGCCAAAAGGAGGGGCAGGCCACCAGGGGGCACTCAGTCTGCTTAGGGAATGACAGCTCCTGGCTCCCGTGGAGACAGTGAAGGCCAGGCAAGCACTTGAGGACAGGGACACAGAGGCTGAGTAGGTTCAGAGGAGCCCAGGGAATAGCATTAGGCCCCAGAATCTTAGACCATACATTTTGGTGGGGTCAGGGAACAGATACTGAAAAGGAGGACCAAATGGGTGGGGCTGAAACATTGGAAGGGAGAAGACCTGGAGTAAGTTTTAGAGGATCACTCACATGGCGAAGGAAGCAGGCCCCAATGCGCAGGGGGTGGGTGGTGCAACCTTGAAGCTCCCGCAGAAAGTGTGTCCGATGGAAGCTTCGAAGCCTCTCCCGGACACTTAGGGCAGCGGCCCAGGTGCCCCGCAGTTCAGGGGTCAGCTCAGACCCAGGGGGTGGCACTGGCTCACTCAGAGTGGCCACATACTCCTGTTCACAGGCAATCAGCTCAGACACCAGACGCTGCTGGGCACTGCAGGCACAACAAGGAGTGGCAGAGGACGATGGGGCATGGGAGGGCGTCACCACCCCCCAACGTCATGTTCTTTTCCTGCTGGGCAGTTGGGCCTGCCTCTTGGGCACCAATTAGGCTGGGCTCTCACCTGATGCTTCTCTTGCGCTCCATCCGGGGGGTGCCTACTCCCCAGGGCCCATCTGGACACCCGGCCCGGCCCAACAGCACGTGTTCCCGGGGTGAGCATGTCCTGTCTACCACCTCGGTACTGGTGACCTCCAGGCCTCGGATCAGCACGGTCCTCGGTGGCCTGCCCTCTGCTTCTGGAGCCAGTTCGGGGCCCTCCTCCTCACAGTCCTCCCCACAGGGGGCCAGGGAGCAGTGGGATGGGGCTGCCCGTGGCCCAGGGCTGCTGGGGAGCAGCAGGGAGCTGAGGCTGGGTGAAGGGCTGTGAGGGCCCCGCTGGGCCCCTCCGCTGCTGGCACTGTCTGCCCGTCGTCGCCGGTGGCTCCGCGGACTGGCCTCCTCTCCCAGCTGTTGCTGAATCCTCCTCTCCAGCTCTTGGCAGCGGGCCCGGCAGCGGCCCCACTCTCGCAGGGCTGCTGGGCTGCCCAGGTCCAGGGCCAGGGCCCGCATCTCCTGGAAGGTGCCAGCGCTGGGCTCTGGGGCCCGCCGCAGGGCCAGGGCTGCCAGCACTGCCTCCCGACCTGGCCCTGCTCCTGCCAGTCTGGCAGAACCTTCATCCACCCATTCGTGTGCCTACAAGGGCAAAGGGGTTGCGAATGGGGAGAGGAAGGGGTGAGGTCCTGTCCGCTCCCACACAATGCCCAATGACAGCTCCTGTCCTCTTTTGCCGATGGCTTCTCAATGCCCATCACCATCCCAGTCCTCTCAGAACATGTCCCCTCACTATTCCAGTATCACTGTCTGACCACACCGCTCTGAGCTGGTATGGAGACAACAGCCTAGATGAAAGAAAAGCCACTACTTATATAGAATTTATGAATGGCACACTCTGCACTAAGTGGTTCTTATATATTGCTTATATAATCCTCACAGCAGCCCTGCGAGGTAGGTGCCTATGAAGGCACATTCAGGTTTGGTATCTAGTCCCAGGTTATTTAGCAAGTAGGTGGCAGAACCAATAGTTAAAGCCAAGGAGATGGCCGCCTGAGTGCCTGCTTTTAACAACTGCCCCATCAGCCTCTCCAAGCAGAAGACGACAATGGTGGACATAGAAGAGGCTGCACACACCTGCTGGAAGAAACGCTGTAGCCGCAGGGCCCGGTGGAGGCCACTCTCCACCTGCTCCAGCCGCTGTTCAAAGATATCCAGAACCTTCTGGGAGGCACTGTCCTCCTCAAGGTCCAGGGCCTCCCGTGCCTGACCCAGGCGCTCCTGGAGAAGGGAGGCTGTGCTCAGACCTGGTCCTCAGTCCCTCTCAGTCTCCCCCTCCCTCCTCGCATATCCTCTCACTTGCCCCTCTCCTTCTTCTCACCTGAACCTCAGCACTGAAAGCCCGGAATCGGAGCTCTGTCTCCTGCAGGGCAGACAGGGAGTCCCCGGGCGCAGCGAAACTCTCCAGCTGCTCCTCGCCTGAGCCTGAAAGCCACTGCAGCACCTGGGACAGATGTGGTGGGAGAGCAGGGCTGTGAGGGAGGAGACCGTGCAAGGAAGGAAAAGGAAAGCCGAGATCCAGCTCCAATCATACCACCAACTTAATCCGCAGAACCCGGGCGGGCAGTTTCATCTCAGCGGTACACTGGGAATAACAGAGAATGGTGGTAGTTTCCACAAGGCCACGTGAGAAAGTGAGTAAGAGATCTTTGTAAAGCACCAGATGAAGGAGAAGCTGGGCTGGCAGGAAGCACTGAGGCAGGTGTGTTAGGGTTCCAGGGCTCTGCCTGGAGGTGAAATAGATAACACTGGTGTAAGCCTGAGGCAGGATGAGGGGACGAGGATCGAAACGAGGGCCAGGAGAAATTTCACATGACCAAACCCGGTGACGGGTGGGCAGTGGACCAAGGGACCAGGCTTGGAGAGATGGCCCAAGAGGTGTGCGTGTGCATGCCCGCATGTGTGTGCAGCTCTAGTTGCCTATTACAGGCTCTAGGGACTCATGCTGGTTCTGGAATAATTGACCAAAAAGTGATGGTAATTTTTAACTCTGAACAAAGGCTGGAAGCTGGGTGAGGCAGCCTGAGGATGAGAAGGCAGAATGTTCCTAATGACCAGAGCCAACAGGATCACTTCTATCGTCCTTTGTTGAATTCATTTGGTCATCTTAACACCCCTGTGAGTGTTATTATCATCCCAATGCTACAGATGAGGACTTGGAAACTCAGATATGCTTCAAGGCTTGTCCAACATCCCACTCCTAGCAGAGCTAGAACTCAAACTGAGCACTTTAGGCTCCAAATCCTATGTGCTAATGGTTTTTAAACAGTGCGGGGAAACAGCTAATAAGCATGCAAGCAAACAAACAGTAGGAGACACAACCCCTTGGATACTGGGATGGAGGAAGCCAATATAAAGAAATCCCAGGAAACAGAGAGCCCTGCCACCCCCCACCCTGCCTTTTGACATTAGTCCTGAGATGACCCTTTCCTGATACCCACATGCAGGTCTGTGAGGTGTTCACTCATCATGCTTGGGAACAGAGAGAAACAATCAGACTTCAAAGCCCCCTCTACCCCACATGGTAGGGTGGAGAGCAAATCCCTGTGGGAGTCTTAACCCCAGGAGAGCAGAATCAAGGTTCAGAGAAGCCAGCCTTATCCCTGAATCCTACCCACAGAGGCCTTGGTTCCAAGGCATTTGGGGCTTTCATTTCATTGCCCTCTCCTTCCAAGGTGGAGGAAGGTAGGGTCAAGCCTCAGGTTTGGGAGATGACATGGTATAAGGAATTGAGAAAGCATGGGTGGCAGTGTAGCGAAAAGGCTGGTATCAATAGACCTTTATTATTTTTAAGCTAAGGAGGTAGGCACTCCAGAGTCAATCAGCTCTTCCCAGAATCCCCTAGGATGCCAGAGCATCTCTCACAATCTCTAAGAATCCTTGATCAAACAAACATTGAGGGGGGAGGGGGGAACCTGGCTTCTCTTCTTTGTTGGTCCTGAGATGCTATCTGCCTCTTGTTGAATCTCACACTGACCATGACGAACCTCCAGTGGAGGTGAGGAGAGAGGGAGGGCCAGTCAACCAAGCCAGGTTAGGAGAATACCATCAACTGTAAGTATCCATGGAAAAGGGGCTACTGGAGGCCAGGTCCCTAAGCCGAGTAAGAGTCTGGGGGTCCTGGCTCACCTGCTGGAGTCGGCGCAGGCGTTGCCGCTGTTCCTGCTGCTGCACGTGCATGTTGGAGAGGCGCACAAGCTGGTGAATGGCTTCATCCACCTCCTGATACAGCATAGCTGGACCTGGGCCCTCCAGCCTGGGGAAGGAGGGGAGCAGAATGAACCACTGCCCTTGTCAAGCACTGGCCCTTTTCCATCCTTGCATCCCAATAGGAGCTGTGGCACAGCCTTGTGGGTCAGAGTATGGCCCTGGATTTGAATCCTGACTTCCATGTACTGACTAACCTTGGCCAAGACATTTAACATTTCTGACCCTCCAAATCCCCATTTGTAATTGTAACTAGCACATAGGGACCTTCTGAGGGTTATGAGACAGTAAGTGGAAAAGCATGATATCTTATCCAGATACGTGCTCAGTAAGAATGAACTGGCAGTTAAGGTTTATTGGCAGCCCTCTACTGTGTCTCCACTGCCACGTCCACCTGCTCCTGCCCACCATACTCATCCCTCGTACTTGCTGCTGTGGGTGGAACGCAGCCTCATCAGGATGGCTCCCCCATCCCTCTGCAGCTCTGTCAGCCGGGGATCTGCCAGCACCTTCTGCAGGGGCTCAGGCATTCCTACCGCCTCCTGGGAGCAGGAAGCAGTTAAAGAGTTGGGATTCCACCAGAGTCCACACCCCATGCCCTTTCATCCCATTTCATTTCATACCTCTCCCTCTGGCTCTGCTGTCCCCTCCAGCTCCGCAATGGCTTGCCGTACAGAGCCCAGCACACCTCGGCACAGGCGGCACAGCCTTGCCACCTCCTGAAACATGCACACAGGGATGGGGTCCAGAGACAGAGTTTAGGATAAGGAGCCTCAGCCCTAGGGTGGGGGTGGGGCGGCCCCAGAGACTTTAATGGAGGCAATGCTAGGTTCAGTTCCTGAAGCTGTTGCTTACTAATTGGATGACCTTGGGTAGGTCCAGAAACATCCTTGAACCTCAGTTTCTTCAACTGTAAAGTCAGGATAAGACACACAGGAGCTTGTGAGGTTTAAAGAGATGCTGCTACAAAAGCACCTAGCATGGGCCTGGCACATTGTGCAGCTTAGTAAACATGAGTCTCCTTTCCTGTCTGCACTGTAAAACCCTCCTCTTGGCCTATTCAGATCCACGTTCCACTACACAGCTTAGAGACCATGTTACAGGTGCATGGTACTTAAACTCATAGAATCAGAGATTTTATCATAATTGCTGCACTTTGCAGGTGAGGATCCTGAGGCCAGGATGTTGGTGCAGGGAGCAAGCACAGAAAGGCCCCATCTCCAGAAGTGAGGTACAGTAACTTATCCAAAGTCACACGGAACCAGAACCAGCCTTCCTGATTCTCAGCTCTTTCCAGGACCCCAGTGACACTATTTTGTACTTTTCTCTGGTTGTTTCTCACTGATCTCCCTCCAAAAATCATATGCAGCTTAATGTTATATTAAAATTTTATTTAACGTACGCCTCTCATCTCCTTAGTAGCCCATGCACGGTATGTACACAAATTTCGCTCATGGTTTGTCATAAATATTTGTTGAGTTAAATGAAAGGGAAACCAGTTTTACCCAGCCCCTTTACCCAGATCTGCCTTCTCCCTCAGAATGTTCTCAGTCCTGGCTCCCAGTGTCCCAAATGGGGGAGGTGAAGCTTACCTGGTGTGTCTCAACCCAGTGGCTGGGAGAGGGCTCCCTGTGACCTCCCAAGTCCCACTGCAGCTCCTCTGGCTTGGCCACTCTTTTCAGATCATTCTCTGACAGCAGCTCAGCACCCTGAAGTCATATGAAGGCAGGGGGTTTCTCGCCTGGGCACCCAGGGGTTCAGGGACCACCCTGGGGCTCCAGCCAGCTTCTTTTCCTCTCTCTACTACTGAGGGGGAAAAGGTGGGAGTGAGGGCTCAAACCTGAAATCCATGGAGCTCAGTGGGAGGGTCATCATGACTGAGAAGCAGCAGCCGCTGAACAAGGGGAGGGTCTCCCGAGTCCTGTAGGAGGGAATAACCCTAAACTGTGGGCAACTGAGTGGCCTGGGACGGCCACTAGTGAGGAGTTAGGAAGGGAGTGCCTGTCTCAAGGGGTTGGTTACCTGAAGTTGACTGAGGACAGGAATGAGAGCTGGAGGCAGGGGAGGTGCCTTGCGAAGGTCTAGCAGGACAGACAACCCCAGTTTCTGTAGATCAGGCCTGTGGGAACAGGAAGAACCAGGGAGGCAGTGTGTGTGTGTTCGGGGACGGTGCCACAGGGTCTGGCTTTAATGTTACTAGTTCTCAGGAGAAGTTAGTCCCTGGTACATTTGGGAGGCACTGGTCAAAGAGCCAGAGTCTGGGAGGTGTGTCCGAGAGTCAGTGACCTAGCAATCAGGACTCTATACTCACATGGCTATGGATCACAGGACCAGGGTCTAGAAAATTAGGAATCCTGAGCTGTGGAGGGTATAAATTCAACACCAGCATGTAGCATGGTCCCTAATAGGTTCTTGGTGCTCAATAGTTGCTGAATGAGTAAATCAATGTCCTGATAATCTAACTAGTGTCTCTGGATACTGAAAGTAGGCAGTGTTGATTTTTGAGGCTCAGTGTAGATATCCTGGAGGTTAGGGGTCAGGCAAGTCGGAGGTCAATGACTGGAAAATCTGAGTGTTGAAGAAGTAGGTGTCCTGGAGGTCAAGAGGTTAATGTCCTGAGAAGAGAGGGGGTCAAAGTCCTAATGACCCAGGAGGTTAGTGGCCTGGGTGCCAGCACTGTGCCTTGGTTACCTGAGCAGTGAGTGGAGGTATTGAAGAGTAGAGCTCAGCGTGTCTCGGGAGGGTGGGGATTCCTCAGGAGGGCATGGTGGGGTAATGGTCAGCAGAGCTCGCCCGCTCTGGTCCATCCCTCCTGAGGACACAAAATGGCAAGGCTGTCCTGGCTCGGGGGAGGACATCACGGCCACCCTGCCTCCCTCGGCAGCCCACTCCAACTGCTTCTCTTTCTTTAACCCCTTTCCCTTCAATCACTGATGCCCACTGACCAGTCAGGATGAGGAACCCAGATGCCATCAAGTCCCAAGCTATGTCAGGGTCATCAGAGATGGAGACGGGAGGGGCCTCTTCTGAGATGCTGTCCCTTTTCACTTCCTGCACAGTCTCCAATGGTGGTGTTGGGGGCTCAGAGAGGGGTCCTTCGGGATCTGTGGGTCCTGCACAGAAGACACAGGTAGAGCTAGGGGCCTGAAGTGAGGCCAGATATGTCTGTTCCGCTCCCAGTCTCACCTCTGCTTCTCCTCCAGCCCCCTTCCCGAGGCTTAACTTATGCAGGCCCTTGACCCACTGGTCTCAGTGTCATCTCACCTGCCACACACACCACGCTTGACCCCTCCTGCTCTCTCTCTCTGGCCTCTTCTATAGGCTCACAAGCTTCTGGGGGCCGAGATTCTTTTTCATCTGCTTGTTTGAGTTCCTCTTTCGGCTCAGACTCTGACTTCCCCAAGCTTTCATGCTCTTCCTTAACCAGGTTGCCTCCTGGAAGCTTGTGCTCATTTGGTGCGGGCAGATTGGTGAGGACTTCCTGTTGGCTGGTCTCTTCCTTGTCTCCAGGGCTCAGCAGGACACTGTCCCCTCCTCGGCTGAGAGCCCCTCTGCCCGCAGCTCGCTTCTTTCTCCTGTTTCCTTTGCCTGTTCTCCGAGGAGTGCCAGGTGGTCCTTCAGCCCCCTGGCCTGCTCCTCCCACAACCTCCCCTGTCCGCAGCGGGCAAGACTCAGAGGCTCCCCCCAGGGCCTCTGTGGGGGGATCAGATACCTCCAGAACTGCTGCCTCTGGGAGTGCCTCAGCTCCAGGGGGAGATCCAGGGGAGGGTCCACTGCTGCTCCCCTCACCGGGCGGGCGGGCCACATCCTGGTCCCGAGGCCCTAGACCCTTCTGTTGCATCCACGCTCGGTGTCTCCGGTGCCGGCCCTTCCCTCCAGCACCCTTGCGGGCGGGTACCGTCCGGGTCCTGGAGAGGCCCGAGGCGGCCTCTGCATCCATAGGGCTCCCCCTGACGGGTAGTGTCACCTCCAGCAGCTCCACGTACTCGCCCTCGGGTCCTTCAGCAGGGGCATTGTGCCCATCCCCAGGACTCCTGGTGCCCAAGGCCTCCTCAGGGAGTGGAGGGCTGGGGAGCCCTGGGGGTCCGGAGGGCAGTTCTGGGGGCAGTGTGCTTGGCCGATGTCCTACCATGAGGCCTTCTTTGTGCACAAATCGGGGGCAGATGAGCTCAGCCCAGGGCAGCCGCTGAATCCCAGAAGGTGCGGAGAGTAGGCAGGTACTGAGGCGACCTGTAGGCCGGTCCTTATTGATACCTTGTAGCCACTCAGGTGTGAATAGGTAGGTACAGGCCTCACTGGGCACAGGCAGCTCCTGTACACGCCCACCCCCTGGGGCCAGGCACTTAAGTACCAGGCGGGGTGCTTGGGCTGCTGAGGGCACCACTTGCAGGTAGAAGTCCCCTGGGCGCAGCAGCTGCCAGGGCAAGGCTGCTAGCTGTACTACCACCTGCTCATGCAAGCAGAGGGGCCAGCCCTCGTGGAAGAAGAGGAAACCGCTGTACTGGGCCTGGGGAGAGAGATGGAACGCTGTGCTCAGGCCTCTGCTGATGAAACCAACAGGAGAGGGGCAGTTAAAATGGGACCATCCTAGGCAGTAGTGGCCTTATGCCTGGTGGGCTATAACTCCAGGGGAGCAGAAGGGGATATCTTGAGGTGATCATGTAACAGAGGAAGGGCTTGGGAGGTCAGTTTTCTGGTGGTAAGGAAGCTAGTTCCATGTGTGGGAGGATAAGAACTGAGTCATTACAAAGACATGGTCAGCAGATGCCATTGTCTTGGAGGAGTCAAAACTCTTAGGAGGTCTTTATAGCTGTAGAAGCAACGGATCTCTGTTGAGCCACATCTGGGGGAGTTAGTATCTTGAGAAATAGACATGAGGAAAAATATGTCTGGAATTGGGTCTGAAGGGTCAGAGTCTTTGGGAGTTGATGTTTCTTAGGGGTCAATATTTGGGGAAGATGAGTTTCTGTGTGAGTGTGTGCTACTATCTGAGGGGCAGTGCCTCTGGGAGGGAGTCAGTATGGGGAGGTGGCATCTCTGGGTGGGGGGAAATTGGTCGGTCTGGTTAGCCTCTGGAGTGAGGCAGAGGCTCTTAGGGGAGCTCGAACAGGGATGCACAGACACTCACACAGGCTTCCTGCTGGACCTTGGCAAGCAGGTGCTTGGCGGGCACCAGGAAGTCCAGAGTGTACCTCAGCGCATCCTCCCGATAAGTCCTCTCCACCACCTGGAACACTTGGCCCAACAGTGTGGGGGCTGTCGCCTCGAAGGGTGGGTACAGGGAGGCAAGTGTGCTCTGCACACAGTCCTCCACTGGCTCGGGCTCCTGGGAGAGATAAGACCAGGCTGCAGATCCGCAGAGATCACCCAAGCATGGCTCTTTGGGACCCATGAGACCTTGGCTTTGGAGATCCAGGGAATTTGTTGTGAATGTCTCTGATCAGGGCTGTCCCTGGTTCTTGTGAATCAGGACAATTGCATAGGCCTTCCCGGGGAGAGAAGTGACAGGTTCCTGGGCCATCAGGGGACTTACTGATGGCTAAGAGCTCTGGCGGGTGGGGGGCTTTTACACAGCCCCCTGCAAGCCCCCCCTCACAGGGTCTACCATCCGGAGATCCCCATCGTCACCCATGAGCAATCATGTGCTAGAGATGGTGAAGCGGAGGACTGTTTGCCTTGAGTCTTTCTAGCACCCCTCTCCTCTCTCTCAGAGTGGCTATGAAGCAATCATCCGTTCCCAGAGTGTATGGGATTGGGTTACAAAGAACTGGGTGGGGACAGTTGAAAGAGGAAAAAGTCACAAAAGAAACATGTGGGGAAGGAAAGAGCAGGCCTTGATGGTTTGTACTGGAGCTGAAATCTTTTCGATTCCGGCAAAACCTCTCTGCCAACCTCCACCTGGAGCCAGTCTCAAAAAGACGGCCCTGCTTCCACCAGACTAGCCTCCCTAAGTGAATCAGTTATCTTTCTCCATCCCACGCTCTAAAATAACCACCCCTCAGGCTATTCCTTTGTAAACTTATTTCTCTTTCAACTTGTCTTGAAGTTCCTTTTATCAGATCTCTTTGCTGTAAATGGGCAAGGGGATGCTCACTGCAGATCTTTTTCTAGCTCTTTACCTACCGCCCCCCAACCCGGCCCTGCCTTTTCCCTGAAGACAAAACTGCATTCCATTTGACTTTGAGTCCCTCCAGCCAGAATTGTCTGCCAGTCCCGATCATGAGAAGCTAGGGCAGCCACTCCAAAGAGGGACGTTCAGAGTGCGTCACACAAAGACTCGGCCCCAAGGTGTGTGGGCGAGCAAACAGACCCCCCTGTGTTCCAGAGACCCGGCCAGAGCAGTGAGCGTGGGTGGGGGTAGGGTGGAGATGGGCGGGGGTAGGCAGAGTGGGCCGTACGCTCCGAGGCCAAGAGGGGGGAGCTAGAGCTGGAGCAGCGAGGCAGCTGCAACCCATTAGGGGCGGTGAGCTCATGGCTGAGCGAGAGTCTCAGCCACAGGAAACGACAGCGGCAGGAGGGGAGGAGGGGTCTGGGGTGGGAGGCGGCGGGCAGGAGCACAGAGACCGGCGGGGACCAAAGAGGAGACCAGAGAGACTGAGTCAGCTCTCCCTGGCCCAGTTCCTCTTTCTTCGTGCTCCGGCCTCCCTGCCAGGGGGTGCCCTTCCTTCTGTAGAGGAGCAGCCCGGGTACTACTGCTACCCTTCCTCCACTCCCCGCAGGGAGCGCCCCCAGGCAGGGCCTCTCCCTCTCCTCCACTCTCTGCAGTGAGCGCCCCCTAGGCGGTGTCCTCCCCACCCCACCCCCCGCAGTGGGCACTCTCTGGCAGTGCCCACTCCTGCAGTGATTCTTCAGAGAGTACTTCTGGAGTGAAAGTTCGCAGTATATGCCCTCCTGCTTCCTGTGCCCTGAGTTGCTGCAGCCAGGGTCCCCTGCTCCCTGCAGAGTGCACCCGCCAGGGCTCCTGTGCAGCCGGCATATTCTGAGCCGGCTTCTGTTCTCTGCGGCGTGAGCTCCGGGGCACTCTCCCTCTCTCCCCCAACGACCCCTATCTCTTGTCCGCTCTGGCAGCGTCACGCCCCCTGGTACTGTGAGGCCCCCCCTCCCCAGTCTGTCTACTATCCTAAGGCAGCTTCTCTTCTCCGCGGGAATTTCCCTCTTGGGCCATGTCTCTGGCCCCAGCCCAGCCCCAGCTGTAGCTGGTCCCCCAGGGCCGGATGGGTGGGTCCGGCACACCGGGCTGGGGACTGGGATGGAAAATGGTGGTTGCAGCCAGGTCAGTTCTCATGACCCGAGGCCAGGTCCCATCCAGGGCTGCTGCAGCACCCAACCCGCAGGGGTCTCCCGCGGGTAAGGAGCTGGGACCGGGAGGGGGAGGGAAGATCCTGCAAAGGAAGGCACAGGTCAGGACAGAGGAGGGCGAGGGGAGGTGTGTGGATTAGGGGATAGACCGAACGGAGCATGGGGGAAGGGGCGGAGAAGAAGAAGAAAGAAAGGGTGAGGGCAATACCCCGTGGGGACAGAGCCAGATAGTGGGGCAGACAGATCAAAGAAAAGAAAGGGGGGATGGGAAGGAGAGAGTCCCAGGAACGCTCAACAGTCCAAAGCAGGAGCCGGAGACACCGAGCTGGGGACTTGCGGCCCAATGCGGGCTGCGCGAAGGCGGAGAAGACACCGGGGTGGCGACGCGGGACTCACCATGGCTCGGCGCGGGGTCGCGTCCGACGCTCGGGCGGGCGGGGCCGGGTGCGCCGCCGCCTCCCTCCCGCCGCTCGCGTCTCGCCGGGTCTGGCTGGGGGACAGCTCCGGCCGCGGCGACGGCTCGGCCCGCTCGGGCTCCCAGGCCGCGGGGCCCCGCCAGGGAGGGCCGAGACGGCCGCCCCTCCCCACCCCGCCCTTCAGTGCCCGCCTCCGCCTCGGCGCCGGACCCCCTGCCGGGACTCCCCCTGCCGGGACTCCCTCTCCCGCGCGAAGCCTCGCCGCCGCTCCCCGGACGCCCTTCGTGGATCTGCTGGGCTCTCCCGCAACCCTCTTCCTCCCCCACGCTGCCCTCGAGTGGGGAGCTGAGACCCTGACCCTCCGAGGCCCGCCCCGCCGAGGATGCCCTTCTTTTCCCGCCACTGCTTCGCTCTCTGCAGGGACAATTTAGTCCTCGAAAGGGACACTCCAGAGGCTGGGACGTTGGTGAATTCCCTGGGGTCCCCAGCCTAGGACTGGGGCCGTGTGGCGGCCGGAAGCCTCCCGTTTCTAACTCGTCTGGGAACCTCTTCTCCCTTCGGTTGCCAGACTTAGGCAGAACCTGGGGCTCAGAAGAGGACACCCCCCTGCTCCCCGCCCCCAGGTCCCTGCCCGCCTCGGGTGGAGCGGAGGGCAGGGCAATCGGGGATTCCTCCCACCCTCCAGGGGCTTGCTGGTCCTCCTCTTTTCCCCTCCGTTCTCCTCTGGCCTCTAGCATTCGGGCTCTGACAATGGGCTCCTCTGTGCGGCCTGGGGAGGGAGGGGGCGTGGGGGAAGGATTAGGGAGCTTTGAAGGCTTGGGGTGGGCATCGTGGTTGAAGGGGGGCAGGGTTCCTGGATCCGAATCTTCCTGTAAGGGGTGTGCACTGCCGCGAACGTTTTCTGGGATCCTTGGTCGCTGTACTGTCCCCTACGCACCCTCTATCTCTCCTATTTTCAGCCAGCGGAGGGAAGGCACCAGAACCCCAGTCAGACTCCATGATTTGATATTGGATGCCAGACCCTTCCTCCTTGTGGAGTAGCGATAGAGAGTTTCCCAGAGCCCCTAGGGCTCATGGCGGTGGGGATGGCCATCTGGCACGGCAGACAAAGGGGGGTAGGCTAGTTAAGAAAGTTCAAGCCTCCCACCCTCCCCCACCTCTGGATGGAAAATGAAGGCCCAGTGAGGCCCCACCGCCCACCCCCGGGGCTTGAGGAGGCTTAGGAATAGCAGGGAGATGCCTTGTCCCTTCTCTACGGGGCACCGCGAAGCGGTGGTGGGTCGCAGGGTCGGGATGTGGTGAGGTACATAGTGTTTCCAAAGGGTGGGCATTTGAGAGGAGATCAGAAAGCCAAATCGTCCTCAGAGAGGGCCGTGAAGGCAAGTGCCACTGCGGCTGAGGGGTGACGTTTGGGTGCAGCTCCAATAAGACCAGAAGGCCAGAGCTTCTGGGCAGTCGTTGGAACAGAGCTGGACGAGGGCGTAGCCTAAGTAGTGGGCTCTTCTCACCTCCTCAGAACGCTAAATTCCACCCTTTCTCCACTCCGCTTGGTCTGGAAAACAGGAGAAAGAAAATGTTGTTTTATGGAGGCAAGATCCCTCTGCTCTATAGGGTCGAAATAATAATCTAGTGCAGCAAACCCTAGTGATCATCTTCCCAGAAGAGTTAGAGGCAGGTAGCTCAAGCTCTTTTCTTCTATCAATGGGTTATGGGGCCCTGAGTCGCGGGAGACTCTCCAGCTTCCTTAGGATTAGTGCCCTGGAACTGGGAGAGTGAGATTCTGCTACCCCCTGGTGTCCACTCTGCAAATGCTGCCCAGTAACTGGTTACAGAGGCCAGCGCTTAGGAAACTTTCTTAGAGGATATATAGTTGACCCTTGAACAACAATGCTGGCATAGTCGAAAATCCATACATAATTTTTTTTTTTTTAGCTGAGCCATCCTGCCACCTGTTGGCAGCTCAGTGGCAGCTCAACTCAGGCTGAGGATCAAACCGGCGACCCTGTTGCTCAGAGCCCGCACTCTTGAGTGAGCTCTTAACCAACTGAGCCATACATAACTTTTGACTCCCCCAAAACTTAGTTGTCTCTCCGTATCTGTGGGGATTAGTTCCAGGCACCCCAGCCAATACCAAAATCCACGGATGCTCAAGCCCCCTACATGAAATGGCAGAACAATGCAGACAGTCAGTCCTCTACATCTGCAGACTCCCAACTGTGGGTGGAAAACAGTACAGGTATTTATTGCAAAAATCCCGAGTGTAAGTGGACATGGGCAGTTCAAACCGGTGTTGCTCAACAGTCAACTGTATTATGAATCTTATTCACTTGTTTCAAATCCAGCTCACCCATTCCCAATGTTGAGGGAGGATGAACCTGCCCTCACATTCCTTATACTCAAGGAAATTGTCTGGGAAACAGTTGGTTCCTACACTTAGGAAGTGTAATATAAATTAAGATGGCTGTGGGAGTCCATGAACTTCTGGAAAAAAGGAGTGGATCATTTTTTTTACATGGAAAAAGGAGAGCCAATAACAGTTTTTGAGCTTGTAGTATGAGAGAGTTTGGATGCAGGGTCTGGGATCCAGTTACTCTGTTTTAGGAGTTGTTTTAATCTGTGCTAAATTAGAAAGGTTTACTTTATTAAGTAAGTGACATATACTGTGCTTGTAGTGGTTAAATACCACTTTCTCCAAGAATGTGGGCTCTTACCTAAGAGAGAGAGAGAGAGAGAGAGAAAGAGAGTGTGTGTGTGGGTGTGTGGAATGTGTTTGTGTGTACAATAGAGTATGTGTTAATGTATATTTTTGGGAGATGTGAAAGGGAAAGATTATAATGGAGGAATGAGAGGCAGGGAATAGACCAGGTTTAGAAGCCTTCTCCTGCATTCACAAACAGCTCTCACCATATTTCATGGCTTATTGAAGTTAAACAACTTGCTGTAAGCTATACAGTAGGTGGAGAAGCCAGGGTTTGAATCCAAGCAGTCTGAATTCAGAACCTTCACTCGCAACCACTAAGTTACAGGGTTTCATTTTAGCTGTCCAAGTCCATAAAAGAAGCACTTTGGTCACTCCATCACCTTTTCCACCACCTAGCTATCACGTTAAAGGGTGTTAACTTTATTTTTGTAGTAGCCAGTCCTGAAAGATTTTCTAAACTTGATAGATATGTGTCCCTGTGGATCAGAGAATAAAAGCAATTTTTTACCTAGACACTATTTAGGATACCTCTACCCCTACCCCTAAAACCCCCAATCTTGAGAACTGCTAAGCAGGTCAGTACCAATCTGTCTCTAGTTTCTTCACATCCCCTTTCCTGGGCTCCTTGTTCACTTCCAGGTCTCTGCCCATATTCCACTTATTCTTGGGACCTTTTGTTATAAAACTTTCAGTATACCGTGCCTTCAAATGCCCCTAAGCCAAACCCAGCACCTAAATGATTGATTTCAAGTAATTGTTACATTATCTTGTTTTTTATTTCTGCCAAAATGTATTTGTACTTCAAATGAGGAGTTTTGGCACCCAAAGAATCTATAATTTGTGGACTATAGCACTCCTAATTCCACTAACATAACTTTACCTCCCCACCATGAATCCACATGTGTTCACATACACACACACACACACACACACACACACACACACACACACACACACACACACACACATGCTTCTCTCAGGCATACAGCCTGATTGATAGAAAGAACCAGTTGCTTAACAATCTGTTGTTTTTTGTTTTCTTTTTTTAAAGTCACCTTACTTGGTAAAATGTAGTCTCAAAACTCCAAGATTGGCCAGGGAGGAAAAACCCTGGGTGTTTTGAGGATGGAGACTCAACCGCAGTCTCTGAGTTTTAGTTTTTCTTGGAGTATATTTTATGGAATTCCTCTGTCACCCCCACACTTGCCTCAGGAAAGCCCTGCTGCCTTTCTCAGTTCCTCCAGAATGCAATGGGAAACCCTCCTCAAGTAAGCAGAATGACCCACCTGGAGGCAGCACAGTGCAGAGGAAGGAGGGTGCTGAGGAGAGATACAGTCCTGGGCTTAATTCCGGTGCCACCACTGATTGCTAGCTGTATGCTTTGAGTCTGGGCTATTGCATCATCAGTGGCCACCCTCCCTCTTAAGGGCTCAGTAGGAGCAACAAACATGGGAACACCAGGAAATAAAATCACCCAAGCTAACTGTGCATTGTGTAGATGAAAACAACACAGAAAATGGACTGGTCTTGCAGTGTCAATGTGAGTTTTTAAAATGTCCCTTTTGTGCCCAGAAAATATTCAGAGGGCCACTTTGGCTTTTTCAAAATTTATGTATTAAAAATGCAAATCAGAAGCCCAATTCTTCCTTATGCTTTTGTATTTAACGTACAAACAAGTACATTTTAATAATCTCTTTAAAGGGTTGTATTTGATGACTATTTGGTACCATTTATAAATGTAGTTAATAAGACTCATTTAAACAAATTTAAAATATATTTTATAGATTTAACATATTCCATGCCCTTATAAATTTGGCAATCTAAGCTAACCAACAAGACATTCTTAAATACTTAAAAATTCTTATAAGTCTAACAATTTATAAATATGGTGTTTCAAGTCTTAGGCTTTCTTGAATGTTCCAAAACGACTTTTATAAGAAAATTCCATTTTAAATCACACATCTAAGCCAATTATACATTTTAAATTAGAATTGCAGGGCCGATTTGTTATTGTAACAGACTAAATTCTCTTAAACACTGAAAATACCTAAAATACTAAATATGCACAAAATCCTTAATAAAAACATATTGATGCTATGTGTTTGATTCTCTTAAGTATTTCTATCTTTAATTTAAAATATTCTGGGTATTTAAACAAACTTACCCACTAGGAAATAATGATGTCATCCTAAATGTCTGAGGAGCCCCTTCCCAAGTGACTTCTTTGGAAACGTCTTCAGTGGTCCAGAGAGTATAGCCAGCAGAGATTTGTCTCAAGGCTTTCAGGCAGCTCTTGTCAAGCCCCCAACTGCCCCACTGAGCCCTATTTTATAGATGCTGTGTCATTACTCTCCGAACGAGCCAGTTTCACAGCCAAGGTCCCTATATTCAAGTTACACTCTGTCTAATTCTTCAACCTACACACGGAAGTCAGAAACTCCTACCCAGGTTGCTATACCACTTGTT